CCTGCCTCCCGAAATATCCGTAGGGATGCGCCAGCCCCACTGCTAACCCCAACCCGCTCTCCGCAGGGCTCAGTGGATTGCCCCAACCTGGAGTTCGAATACGGGGATGCCGATGGCCACGGCGCCGAGTTAGCAGGTGAAGCAGTGTTCGGGTGCTGCGTTGCTATTAATAGGTGCCCGCTGGGGAGGAAAAAAAAATCCCTCGGGGAGTCGGGTGAGCGGGATGGGGGATGGATATCCAGTGGTATCATCCTTGCGGTAATAGAGCAAAAGGGATTTATTAATAGAGAGCCACTCGCTCCCCGGGGATGAGCAAAAGGGACGCATGGGGGCACCGGGATTACCCCGTGCTCCAAATTATCCAGGACACGACGACAGGCGTGCAGGGGTGGGAGGACAGGCGGCATGCCCGGTGGCACAGCCCAGGCTGGGAACTGTCACCCTTTATCACGGGTGTCACGATGGGTCGAGGCCTCTTCCGACTTCGGCTGCTTCTGGCCCGTAACCCTCAGGGTCCTGAGCGTATCTCAGCCAGTAAAGGGGCTATTTTTAGCTCTGTGTGTCTCAGCTGCAGGAGCTGGCCTGGCTAAAGCACATTTTTTCTTCGAGGGATCCTCCCTCCTCCGTTTCAGTCCCCCATGGTGCTGCTCAGAATCGTAGGACCTATAGGACCTATAAGAATTATATAGGAACAGGCACAACATCCTGTCCCTCCAAGTCAAGCCGCTATTTGCAGGTCCCAAAATATCCAAGCTGCTGGGTGTGAAATGAGTGCAGGTCTTGCCCGGGTCTCCTGCGGTCCCTCCCTTTGCAAACTGACTTAACTGGAACAGAAAATTCCACCCCAAAAAACCCCAATGAAATTGCAAATGCAGCTCGAGCGCCGTTGCTGTGGGCAGGAGCGTGGGAACAGCCCCGCCCGGACACAGGGATGAAAATGATGAATTTGGTGGCATTGGGTGGCTCCAAGATGCCCCTTGGAGCTGCAGAAGAGCTCAGGGATGAGTTTAGGTCTCTGCCCCATGTCTCCTCGGGTGCGTAGGGATGCTTCAGAGTCCCTAAGGCAATGAAGGGAGGGGAATTTGGCAATGAGGAGGAGGGTGAAACGCCTCCGGGTCCCTGCTGACCCCTTTCTCCATCAGAGCTGTACAGCTACACCGAGGAGCCCGAGCTCAGCACCAACAGGAGATGCTTCGAAGAGGATTTTCACGCTCAAGGTACCAGCCCTGGGCTCAGCACCCCGGGGCTCGGGGCAGGCCCCCTGGGCAAGAGCGGGACCCCCAGGAAGGCACCCGGCTGGTTGTCGTGTCCCCTCTCCAGTGCAGGGCAGGAGGTGGCTGGAGCTGGACGGGGCTCAGCAGAAGGCCTATGTCATGCGTCTGCTGGATGGGCTGGAGGTGGTCAACAGGGACAAGCGGCTCAAAGTAGCACGGGCCATCCTCTACCTGGCACAGGGTAAGGATCACCTCCCCCTTGTCTGGATGCGGCCACGTATCTGCTGCCTGGCTTTGGCATGGGGGCTTGGGGGAAGCTTTCTCTTGGGGTTGTGCCAGGTCAGTGCAGTGAAGCTCCTTCCTGGGATGGTCCCATGTGCTCCAGGGTTCAAAGGCAGCTCCCCTCTAACCAGTGCCTCCCTTTGGGCCTCTCCAGGTGTCTTTGGAGACTGCGATAACGAAGGCGATGTCCTGCACTGGTCTCGGCACAACAGCTTCCTCCTGTACCGGCTGGGAACCTTCACCGCCTTCCTGGAGCTCCTCAACATGGAGATTGAGTGAGAGGACCTGCATTGCCCTCGCCCTCCTCGCCCTCCTTGTCCTTTTCTTCATCTTATTCTTTCTCCTTGCCCTCCTCACCCTTCTCTTCATCTTCTTTCTCCCCATGCTCCTCGCCTTCTTCTTCCATCCTCCTCACCCTCCTCTTCTTCATCTTCTTTCTCCCCATCCTCGCCATCTTCTTCCATCCTCCTCACCCTCTTCCTCTTCCTCTTCTTTCTCCTCACCCTCCTCTTCTTCATCTTCTTTCTCTCCATCCTCCTCACACTCTTCTTCCATCCTCCTTGCCCTCCTCTTCATCTTCTTTCTCCCCATTCTCCTCACCCTCCTCCTCTTCATCTTCTTTCTCCTCACCCTCCTCTGCTTCATCTTCTTTCTCCCCATCCTTTTCACCCTCTTCTTTCTCCTTCCTCCTCCTCCTCACTGAGGACCAGGGAGGTGCCGCAGCCACGGCACGTCCCCCAGCGCAGTGTTTCCCCTGCTGCAGACATAGGCTGGGGGTTGGGGCAAGGACAGCCCCTGCCCCAGGGCTTTCCTTCCCCGCAGCAACAGCCAGGCCTGCAGCAGTGCCCTGAGGAAGCCGGCCATCTCGCTGGCTGACAGCACGGAGCTCAGGTACCCCTTCTCAGCCAACTCACCCAACTAGCACGTTGGGTGGAGGCTGTGGGACAGCCTCTGGGGACAAAGTGGCCTCTGGCTGGCAGCATCACCTGCCTGCCATGCTGTCCCGGCAGGGTGCTGCTCAGTGTCATGTACCTGATGGTGGAGAACATCCGTGTGGAGCAGGAGGCGGATCCCCCTGAGTGGAAAACCTGCCGGGAGACTTTCAGGATGGAGCTGAGTGAGCCACAAAGTTCATTGTGCTCTAACAAGGTCCCTTCGTCATGCTGGACCGGTGGGGAGACCTCAGGGACTGGGGATCTGCTCTGAACCTGCTAACCTGCTCCTGGTCCCTTCCTCCACCAGGTTTCCCCGTGCACACTGAAGAACCGTTTGCTCTTCTGCTCTTTACAATGGTGACCAAGTTCTGCAGTGGCCATGCTCCACACTTCCCCATGAAGAAGGTCCTGCTCCTCCTCTGGAAGGTGCTTCTGGTGGGTGCAAAACCTTCCTTTTTCCAGAAACCGGTCATTTTGGGAATAGTGCTGATGCAGCCTGGATGTTCCCCACTATTCAATCCAACCATAACGAGGTTATTTAGGATGGCACAGGAAGCTGACACAAGGCAAACAGTTTCTTCTGGGATGAGGGTGGGCTGAGCTACGCAGAGGATGTGGGGTGGGGGAGAAGTCTGGAGAACGAACCAGTGACATGGTGTCTTCATCCTCAACTCTCCAGATTGATGATGTCAAACTGCTGCTCCCCTGGAAGCCCAGAAGAGCCATGCAGTCCAGGGGGGATGTCTGCTCCGCGCTTTCTCACCTCTCTTATTGGTCCCTAGTTCACTCTGGGTGGATTTGAAGCCCTGCAGGCGATGAAGGTGAGGAAGCGGGAGGAGCTGGGGCTGCCACCCTTGCCGGAGGACAGCATCCAGGTGATGCGCAGCATGCGCGCAGCTTCGCCTCCCACCTACTCCATTGAACTCATGGAACAGCAGCAGCAGAAGCGTGGTCACCGCAGCCGGAGGGTAAGAGCGGCCCAGGATGCTTTTCCAATGGGGACCATCATCCATTCAAGGAGCCAGCCTGGGCTTGGGAGTGTGTTTCCCTTTCCCCCAGGTGCTCCTGTGTTTTCCAGTTTCATAGAATCATAGAATGGTTTGGGTTGGAAGTCCAACCCGCCTGCCGTGGGCAGGGCCATCTTCAACTAGATCAGGTTTCTCAGAGCCCTGTCCAACCTGACCTGGAATGTTCCCAGGGATGGGGCATCTACCACCTCTCTGGGCAACCTGTGCCAGCGTCTTACCATCCTCATTGTAAAAAAAAACCTTCCTTATATCTAGTCTGAATCTACCCTCTTTTAGTTTCAAACCATTACCCCTTGTCCTAATGCTACAGGTCCTGCTAAAAAGTCTGTCCCTGTCTTTCTTATAAGCCCCTTTAAGTACTGAAATGCTGCAATAACGTCTCCCCGGAGCCTTCTCTTCTCTCAGCCTGTCCTCACAGCAGAGGTGTTCCATCCCCCTGATCATTTTCGTGGCCTCCTCTGGACCCGCTTCAACAGGTCCATGTCTTCCCTGTGCTGAGGACCCCAGAGCTGGACGCAGCACTGCAGGGGGTGTCTCACCAGAGCAGAGCAGAGGGGCAGAATCCCCTCCCTCGACCTGCTGGCCACGCTGCTGGTGATGCAGCCCAGGGTACGGTTGGCCTTCTGGGCTGCGAGCGCACATTGCCGGCTCATGTCCAGTTTTTCATACACCAATTTCAGTTGTGGCAGATCAGCCTTGTGATGCATTTGATCCGGAGGAAGCAAAAGGACATCCTGACCCTATGCAAAGGGCTGATAAGCACCGAGGAACAAACTGCTCACAGCAAGCTCGTCTTTTGTTAGCTCCAATTTTGGAGTTGTGCTGTTATGATGTGAGGATGAAAATGCCTTTTTTGCTAGGGGAGAGATGTCGGATGGTAGCTTCAAAAGTTAAGATGGAAAATGGGGTCAGACCTGCTAGAGCAGCAAGGTTAGAGGTACAGAGGGAGTTATTCCTTGTCCAGGCTTTGGTGGTAACAGCTAGGAAGGAAATCCTCACCTGAGGAACACCTGGGAGCTTGATCTTTCCAGGATGGAGAGGTCTGGTGCCAGCAGCTGGGAGGGAAATAAAATCCACAGAGTGACTTGAATTTCTCCTTCCCCTTCTGCTGCAGCCCCTGGTGAAGCAAGACAGTTTGGATATCTACAACGAGAGAGACCCCTTCAAGAATGATGAAGCAGGAGTCGACGAAGAGGAGAACGATGATGTGGACAGCGGGATCGAGGGGGAACTGGACCTGATGGAGCGGGATGCGATTATCCCTGCAATACCTGCTCAGCGCCCGCCTATCGAAAGGGTGTCATTCCCCAAAGGGCTCCCCTGGGCCCCCAAAGTCAGGTAAAACCATCTGGTGTCATTGCCATCCTCCCCAGTCCTACCTGTCCTGGAGTTCATTGCAGGCTGAACATCAGTCTGTGGCAAGTTTGTTGGCCTCTGGCAAGTTGAACTGAAGTGACTCCACTTGTTTTTTTGTCTCGGTTGGGCCTTTCTGGACTGGGTTTAGCTGAGCTCTTCCCCAGGCTTTACAAGCCAAGCGTGGCCAAGCTTGGCCAATAAGTGGCAATCCCATTTTGGATATCTCAGGTTGTACTGGGAAGGAGGCTTGTGCTGGAGTGCTGTGGGAGCAGGGTCAGCTTTCCCAACCAGCACCAATGGATCTTGGTAGGCCAAGGTCTTAGACTAATCACTTTGGGAACTGGTTAATGACATTGCCTCTTGCTTGTTGAGTGGGACTCTTGTGTTCCCAGATGAAACCTTCTTGAGTGGCCTTGCTCTAAGATGAAAAATTGGAGAAAAACATCTGAGGATAAAGAAGTTGGTGCCTTCCCTTCCTAAGACCAGTTCTGCTACACCTGATATGGGGGAGCGTTAGGAAAAGAGGGTGAAAACCTCTGCCCCTTTCCCTCTAATCCATGTGAGTTTTTTTGCTGTTGATCCGAAGCCTGGATTTAATCCAGTATCTTTAAAACACAGGAGCAAATACATCTTTCTGATGTGGGAGCAGTGACAGGGTTAAGTGTGTCTACCCAGAGCACTCCTGGCAAGGACACGGCAAGAACTAGTTTCCCACATGGGTCTCTGCACACGCGGTGCCGTGGTACTCCACGTAACTTAATACTCTCAGCTTCGAAATCAAATGACCATTGTTTTTCTTGGCTGGTGCGTGGAAATCCAGCTGGGTTTCTTTGTGCCTGTGAGAGCCTTGGCTCATGGTTCATGTCCTACTTGTAGTGCTGAGATCCTGACCAGTTCTCATGAAAGATGCCCAAGGTGGACAAGATGTCAGCTTGCTCTCTTGGAGCAGCACGTGCTCTGCCAGACTGCAGAGACAACATTTGTTAGCGCAAAGTGAGCAGATGCTACTTGAAGATGCATGTGCTAGGAGCACAGAAGGTGGATAAAAAGGTGCTGGTTGTAGAGAACTCCTTTCCATTTATTCACACACTCCCATGGAGTTGCACAGCAAATACAAATGGTTTTGGTTCATGTTGCTCCCAACCAACGAAAGCAATGGTGGCTCTAGCCCGCTGCTATTAAGACCTCTAGAATTCAATCCTAGAAAGCTCAAAGGTTCTTGCTGGTCCCACACTGCTGAGCAATGTAGGCTGTGATCTGGTATATGTCTGTTTTCCAACCTTCTCCTTGTTTTTGTTTCTCTGCTGCTCCATCAGACAGAAAGACATCGAGCATTTCCTGGAAGCAAGCAGGAACAAATTCATCGGATTCACACTGGGACAGTGAGTGTTACGTGTGTAGGTCCAACAAAGTCTGTCTCATAGCTCCCGTCAGTGCAATTTAACTGGTGGGAGGTGTCCACAGAGCTTAGGTTTTCTCAACTCAACCAGCCTAAGGCATGCTTGGGACGATGCGGCGCAGCGCTGGATTTCACTGGGGCTGCAGCAGTGCGCTCGGTGTTATAAAAACATGTTCTTGGAGATGCTGGTCTCCAAGGACATCTTTCTATAAAAATCAGACCTAGTCCAGAATAAGTGACCCCTGGCCCAAGCCAGAGACTGGTTGATGCGGGAGGGAGTTGGGACAATCTGGTATACACAGCAAATTACCCAGTTTGTGAATAAACCAAGCTGCAGGTGCAGAGTCATCCTGGCACGGACCCAGCAGGGTATATTCATTTTTAGATGCAGTGCTGAGCTTAAGCTAGTTCCATGTAGAGACCTGATTTCACCCCAATTCTTCACCCCGACGTCATCCCTCTCTTGTGCAGGCTTCGCTGGGGAGGAGGTGGGAGGGCGGGCAGCTCACGCCAACACCTCTCCCAATTCCTGACCCATCTGGGATGCGTTCAGTAGATTCAGTGGACTACAGGCTCCCTCTTTTACCTTGTATGACATGGAAGTGTTAAATCCAGTCTTCTTCCCAGCCTCATACTTACCTTCTTTCATCCCCTACAGAGACACTGAAACCCTGATAGGGCTACCACGGCCCATCCATGAAAGCGTGAAGACACTGAAGCAGGTAAGATGGTGGCTCCATGTGCGGCACTTGGATGAAGCAGCCCAGAAAGCCTTTCTGAGCGGCAGTCAGCTTGTCTAACCTCATCCCTTGCTATTTTTGCTCCCTGGCACTCAGCAGATGCTTTGAGGTGGGATCAGACCTGTGGGGATCTCATGGAAGTGGGAAAATCACTGGCCGAGATCATCAGGGCCATAGGGGGATTGCAGGGCATTAAGTCTCATAAACTTTGTGATACAGCACTTACAATGCGTTTCAAGTTCCTCAGATGTATGCTCTCAGCCTACAGTAAATGTTTCACATTAATTTAGTCTTCTGGTCCTTCTCAGCTGATGTACAGCAACGTGTTAGGTCTGAGCTCTTGCTCTCTCTGCCTTGGGAAGTCAATCTGATGAATCCAGTCAAAGTCTGAACAGCTTGAGAGGGGCTGGATATCCACCACATGCAGTGTGGGATCCTCACGTCTAACCTCTGGCTGAAACAGTTACTGGAGGGAGTAAGAGGGTCCCTTCTTGTTAGTTGTCACAGGGGAAGCTTCCAGAGCTTCGTGCAGGAATTGGGGCAAAAAATAGAAAACTGAGCCGTCACTGTAGTTCCAAGTAGATTGTCCAGCACTTGGACTTTCCTTTTATCCGAGGTGTAACATTGCTGCCTCCTGGCGAGCATTTGCCACGTTGTGCTTTGAAGGTGACAGACTTCCAGAGTTGGGTTTGGACATACATGCCCAGACCTGTGCTGTTCCCAGGGGGAAGC